CATGGTTATTTTGTGGTAGACCACTGATAAGCTTTATTTTGTTTTGATCCAATGCTGCACAACTGAACTGACCCAATGCTGCTGTGAAAAAAAGAAGCTATATCCATGTTGGATAGAATGGGTAGTTGGATACTGTCATTTAAATAAAAAAATAACCTTAAGGGACAACTTAAATGCTTTTTTCCTTTTTTTTTTCTTAATGCATTGCATAAAGATCGGATCGGGAAAAATCGGTATCGGCAGATTGTCAAAATCAAATGATCAGAATCGGATCGGGAGCAAAAAAAGGTGATCGGGACATACCTGGTGGCAAAGTACTGAGAGTGGAGGTGTCCTGAGATTAGCACCTGTAGGCAGGCTCCATGGACAGCGCAAAATGCGTACATGAAGCGCTACGTCATGAACGCAAGAAATCATACCCTCGTGGGGGAGCGCTCATGTGATTGGCTTAGAATGAAGGAGACATCTGATTGGCTATAGATAGAACAAATTACAAGTATGAATCGGGTGACCGTCAGGGGAGTCTCAAAAAACCCACACACGAATGCACAGCGATCCATGCACAGAAAGCGGTTTGTGTTTGCAGGTTCAGAGGTTTTAAACGGAAAACAAATATGTGAGGATCAAAAATACATATTTAAAACTTTTTTCTGTATTTGGATTTTATTTACATGTATATGAAACGGAACACATTTGTGTGTGCATTGACAAACACAAGTGTGGATCCGGAAATACAAGTGTAAATCCTTCTGTGTGCATGTGTGTATTATGAGACTGTTCTGAGCCCATACATCTAAGCGATGAATAAGAGTTTGGAAGGAAAGCAAAAATAAAGATGTGCAAAGGCCGACAAACACAAAGAGAGAAACATAATTAAATATGTTCCCTTGCCTCTCATTCAATTCTAAAGATGTGCTTTTTTCCTATGAGGAACAATTGGATGTGAGAGGGGACAAAAGAAGGACTAGGAAGAGAAAGAAACTGATGTAATAAATTGATAAATATTGTAAATGGTGATCATGAATTTTGTTGCAAACGGACAGGGGCAACATCCTCATGAAGACATTATTTTCTCTTACACTTTCCATTACATTTTCAACTACATCACTCCTGTGTATGCACATTTCTCTGCCTGAACATTTGGTGACCAGTTAGGTGACCCTAACCCTAACTGGTTCCTTTCCGGAGCTTTACTAAATAGGTGTAACTTCCTAAGTGTAACCCTAACCCTAACCCTAATTTGGTCACAATAAAAGTAAAATCTGATATCCTGAGAGCCCTGGCTCTGGCTCTTCTCATTTTGAATTCAGAACCAGTGTATACAACCCATCAATCCAGTCATTTAGATTAATGTCTGAACCAAATAGCATGTGCAGTTTGACTCATCAAAATATAACTCCACTGAGAAAGAACCAGACTGGTATTATGGACTTCACACTGATGATCATTTTAATGCCATAAAACCAACTGTTTATGATTCATAACCATCATAAGCTTTGCAATCGCCGTTTGACATGCAGCTGCAGGTTTTCAATTTTAGGAGAAAAGTAGTTTGTTATTCCGGTAAACTCTGAAGTTTTTCAGTTCAGAGTGGGCACTATTCATTTTTATATTTAGCTCTGCAAAAGAAGTTACATCTGGGAGCTGTGAGTCACCAAACAGGCATTGGTGGATCTCTATAGATCGCTGAGGATAATAATCAACTTACCATTATCACATGATATTGAAGTGTTAGAATGTAATCTCGATGCGTACTTGAGCACAACTGTTGAACTTGATGTCTGTATTTTATACAATTATCTTTGGATTCAATAAAAACATTTCACAACCCATGGAACACATTTTGCACTCCATGCAGACAAATTAGTTTAGGTGTATGAAACTCCTCTCCTATTAAAAACAAGAACGCTGTCTTCAATGACATTTAGATTGCAAGAGTCTATTGTTTTAGTTTCTATTTATTTCAGTTATTTAATTTAACGCCATTTCTAGAAGTTTGAATTTAGTTATACTTTCACTATTGCTGCCTCTGATCTTAAATTGATAGGTCTTGGGCTGCATTTAATATCGTTGCAGAGAGTCAGATACACTGAATCTTCTGAAATCAGCTGGCAAGTAATGATAGCATCTCAGGAGATTTTTCATTTTATTTAAGCATTATTGTTATAAAGAACTTTTTCTCTGGTGATGGAACTTCTTAAACCTTTTTGTAAGGCAGCAGAAACAGACAACCCAACATTTTAATGTTTATATGGTGAAGCAGTGAGATTACCGTGGCCGATTTACACCTCCACTAGACGTGCAGAAACATTAGCATTCATTTGGATTACATCTCTAATCACCTGGGGCCAGGAGTTCAAAACTTTTAATCTCAATCAGATCAGATCAGATTTTGAAATCCCATTTTTTGTGATCCAGGATCAGACAAATCGGCCAGATTTTGTCCCTGTAGTTCAAAGCAATTCAGGATAGGATCACCCTGATCCAGATTGCGACTTTTCAAGATTACTAGATCCTGAATATCAGTGCTTTAATCCTACCGATCTCCATCTAGTGGATATGAAAAATAATACAAGGAAGACAAGAGACCACGTTGCAGAGACATCTACTGTCCGCAATAACTTTTGAAAGGTGATGACAGATGATGGACTTTTTTTTTGTTGAAGATATTTTTTCTTTAATCTAAATTACATTTGTGATTGACAATCTTTGTTGTGATACTTTTATGAGCATAAACATTTATGTCATCAACATTTGGTTGAAAACAAAATAGGCCACCACAAACGTGAGCAAAAATGGAAAAATAAAATGTATTTCCCATGAAGGCTAAAAATTGTGTATTATTTCAGTTAACAAACTGTGCCATCTTATTTAAATTAAAACATATTTTAAAATAAATTGTACAGTACATTTTGCTCTGGTAATCCACCCTTCTGGTGGGATCAGGATAATCCAGTTTTTTGGGATCAAACTGATCCCAATCCTGTGTTGTCGGTTTGAACTACCCATTTTGAAGATTTGATCCAGATTAAAGCTTGGATTGGATTTCCTGATCTGATCGGATATCAAAGTGATCCTAATCCTGTTTTTTGGTTTTGAACTACCCAAAATCCAAATCTGATCCGATCAGATAGGGATTAAAAGTTTTGAACTCCTGGGCCCTGATGAAAATCGGGTATCTACTCTTCATCTGTTAAACCCCATCGACCCGCCCCCGGGCGGAAAAACGCATAATCTGCAGGAAACAGCGTCTGAGGGCTTCTTAATATTTAATAAACTATGAATGTTTCATATCCATGTAACGGGAAGAAACTCAGCTAACTGATAATTTTTTTGATCACATTTTTTTGTCAAACGGCGTTTGCACAGAAACTCACTCATAACACCCTTATTACTTATCGTAACTGCACATCCAACATATCGAATAGCATCGTGAGAATACACAGAATCGATAGGTATATATATCATCATTCCATGATAAGAACTCGCAAACTTATTAACAAAAACAGACATCACAACATGTGGCGCTCGGTAGCAAACACGGCAATACGGCTTACCTTTGTCGTTGTCTGATCAAAAGTGGTCTTCAATGGCATCAAAACGATAAAAACGCTGCTGAAGGTTAATCCATAGGTTAATCCAATGTGTCTGTGTGTCACTTTGAAATGATTTTTGATAATCCATAAGCAATAAACCTACTTTTCCATTTTCAGATTTCAGAGCGAGAGATAGGTTTCGGTTTACGGCCAACTGCATGCGCAAAGCCCCCACTTTTTTTTGGTAGCGTTGGTGTGTATGTGGAGATTCCCCTTCAATTCTATTGGCTCTAACGGTTAATAAGAGATGTCAATCACCAAAATCGACCAATGGGTTCCAGAGAAACGGCAAAAACGCCCATTTCCACCCAAATCACCTCAGAGGTGGAGTTTATTTTGCTAAACCTCTCTAAAAAGGTCAAATGTCACTTGTTTTGCATCGATCTTGATACAGGGTACTTATTATATGTTGTACTTTGGATTCCTAAAGCTTTTAGTCTACCATCCCATCATTCAAGGGTGGTTTTCACTATAAGTAAAAAAGAATTTTTGGACGGACACTATCATTTACAGTTTTTTACTATGTTCAATCTGAATTTTCTTTAAAATAAAAAACATCTATATTGATTTTGACTTTTTTAGATCCAACTCACAGGTTTATCATTACTTTGAGAAAAAAGATTATTAATTTTCCCCTTTTAGAAGTGTAGTTATGGTAATTTGTTCTGGAAATGTCATTTTCGAGCCTGAGACCTGAAAAACAGGGATGGGGTTTTAAGTCTATTTTGGACGGTTCCGACGCATTATAGAAAAACCTGCTTCTTTATCTTCTTGAGCTAGTTGCCAACTCTTTCTGACGGTGCTCTATAGGTGATATAGAGAGAGGGCTTTTTCTTTTAAAATAGATGTCTGCTGCTGTTGGTACAAGGTTCATGACAGCAAAAAATCTAAAATGACAGACGCTGGATGTAAAACCAGAACAATACGCCAAAACGCTTCATAGAATTGAAGGAACTATAGAGTTTGGTAATGACTCTCTGTGGGTAAAAGTGTACTACAATGTAATTTTAATCTAAAAAAAAACTAATGTGGTGGTGTTATTACCATGAACAATAATTATGTTGAACTCGGTCGCACTCTGTGGGTGGGAGTAGTTCAATTTTGTGGCAAATTGCAAAGCACTTTGGACTCTATTTGTTTGACCTCAGCTGAGTTTCTAGCAAAAGGGGAGAATAAAAAATTAACATTAAAAAAAAAAATTAACATTTTCAGCTTACAATGCCAGAATTAATGTGAGCTATTCTCCAGCATGTACTCATCATTTTGTCTACTAAAGCATATGGGATTTGGAATATGTGGTTTCAGTGTTGAAAATACAGCCATAGATTACTTTAAACACACCAGAAGGGGTTGAAAAAGCCCCCAGGCTAATTTATGCATATACTGCAGTTTTAGTATCCATACCTGTCTGATGGCGCACAGCAGCTTCCCGTAGCAGAAGACGATCACCAGGAAGGGTGCGATGAGGCAGAACAGAAACAGGCAGATGATGTAAGATATGCTATTGGCCGTCTTGGCTGTCCAGTCCACAGAGCAGGTGGTCCCGGGACCCTCGGGGCCATATTTGCTCCAGCCAAAGAGTGGCGGCAGAGTCCAGGCGAGGGAGTAGAGCCAGGACAGGAGGATGCCCTGGGAGATCTTCCGGTAGTTGGAGGCGTCCGCCTCAGTGGGCGCCACCATGGTGCTGTAGCGCTCATAGGAGAGGACCGCCAGGGAGATCAGGGACACAATGCCTGGGGGGGGGGGGGGACAGGGCACAAACATAGGTAAACCACATTGGGTATAGATTCAGTCGCATAGCGTGTAGAATATTGCCTCAACAGAAGGAGTTCGATACAAGAATACAAGCTAATAGAGCTGCCCCAATCCACTTTGTTCTGTTCCATTCCTTTACCTGAGTTGTGACCAGAGCTCTTTTTGTGTCAAATGTGCATGAGAAACTTGTTCAGAAGTATCTACGCTATCCAAAACCCTGTCAAAAAGTTTAAAATGAATCTGCTTTTTCATAAATTGCTGTGTAAAATATTTATTTGAAGCACTGGGAGTAAGCCCCCATTTTAAGAGCCAGAAGACCGTAAATGTGATTCAACAACAGGCCTGCCATGTTTACCTGGTAGAAGGCTGCAGGACTGTTGCGTGCAATGTGTTGTTCAGTAGACCTAGAGAGAAAACACAGTTTTCGATCCGCAACTCCATTAATACATATTTATATGTATAGGCAGGGTGGGGATGGTTACTTTAAAAATGTAATCCATTACAGTTACTGATTCCTGTAAACAGATGTAATCAGTAACCTACTGTAATATGAGTATCACAATAAAAGAAGCAATCCAAATAAATACAAGCGAATATAAATATCAATAAGATGTTTTTTACTTAAATGTCTTAATACAAAAGAACAATGTAAACTTAGAAAAGAAGAAACCAAGATATTTAGGATAAAAAATGTGTCCTTTCAAATTTAGGCTAGGCCTACAGAATAGTAGAGTTTACAAAAAGTGTTTAAGGTTAATATACGAATTCAAAGCAAACAGTATTATTGTTTTAATAAATCAGGTGTCCACCTACTGCATTAAAAAGAAAATAATGAAAATAGCCTCAATGAAAACCCAAAAGAAAATGCAGGCAGAAGGTCTACCTATAATATATTGGTCTTTATTGATACATTGTAATCCTGCAAGTAATCCCCCCATAAGGGGAATCTGATTAAATATTTTCTTAATGTAACTATGAGTGAATACAGTTACTTATTTTTGCATCCCGATTACTTCATCCCGTTACATCTAATCTGTACTCTCCAAGCCTGTGTATGGGTTACAATTATATCCGATACCGATATTGGAAGGAATCAGTCTCATCTCTTCAAGCTAACATAACACTGTAGACATCATCTGTACATTGGAGTAACCAAGGCTTCCCTGTCACGCCTACAGCTGGTCCAGAATGCTGCTGCGCGCCTCCTTACAAGGACAGGCAGGCGTGAACATATTACGCCTGTACTCGCCTCTTTACATTGGCTACCAGTCAGTTTTAGAATCCAATTAAAATTTTTACTGTTCGCATACAAGGCCCTAAACGGTTTAGCCCCACCACCGTACCTGGCAGATCTTTTAAAACCATACACACCCACACGGTCACTGAGGTCTGCTGACAGACTCCTTCTGGTCGTCCCAAAATCAAGGCTAAAGCAGCGAGGAGACAGAGCCTTTGCTGTTGCAGCTCCAAAGTTATGGAACGAATCGCCCCTGCAGGTTAGACTTGCTCCAACTCTGCCTGTTTTTAAATCTCGTTTAAAAACCCACTTCTTTTCCCTGGCATTTACAGGCCAGGTATGACACTTGTGCTTTTAAATTTGGGTTTTTATCTTATTAGTGTTTTGTATTGTTTTTACGTCATGTAGGAGAGTTTTTCAGTCTGTGGCTTCTGATCTGGTTTCATTGTCTCGTGTTTTACATTTGTTTCATGTCCTGTCTGTTTGTCATGTATTTATGCTATGTTTTTTATATAGTTGTTGATGTACAGCACTTTGTTTAACTCTGTTGTTTTTAAATGTGCTATAGAAATAAAATTGATTGGATTGGATTGGATCATGTTCTTCTTTTATATACCCTGATTACTGTACTTCACATTGAATGGGGCCAGAAGAATATGCACTGCCTGTACAAATGTGTATCTACTGTAATGAGGGAAACACTGCGATATAAATGTATTTCTAAGATCAAAAGAGCACCTACAAGCAGAAGCTCTATGATTGTCCGGCAGTGGCTCAGTCAGTAGGGGCTTGGACTGGGAGCTGTAGGGTCAAGTCCCCAACCAGACCTAAAATGTGGAGTGTGGACTGCTACTTGGAGAGGTGCCAGTTCACCTCCTGGGCCCTGCCGTGGTGCCCTTGAGCAAGGCACCGGACACCCCCCTTCCCCCCTCACTCCCATTGCTCCCCGGGCGCTGTGCAATAGCTGCCCACTTCTCCTAGTACTAGACTCCTGGTACTAGGATGGGTTAAATGCAGAGGCCAAATTTCACTGTGTGTTCACCTGTGATGCGCCGGTGAAGATGGCCGCATCGTCTTTGTGCTCCTCTCCAACTTTGCCCATTTTCGTATTTTGTACATATTTATTTTACTTTTGCCGTTTTATTTTTAACATGGTTCGCAACATGCTAGCCGACCGCACCTACTCTGCCATACAATATAGCAGAGAGGAACTTCTTCAATTGCGAAACTTCGTGGACAAAAATAACCCTCCGACAGACAATGGAGATTCACCATGGCTACCTGTTGCTGTTCTACCTGAGAGACGCAAGAAGAAAACAAAACGCGGCTGCCGGGCCGGGCTGCTGGTCAGACTGAGGAAACGAGAGAATCGACCCCCTCTTCCGAGTATTCTTCTGGCAAATGTTCAATCCATTGAAAATAAGCTAGATGAACTCAGAAGCCGGATTGCTTTTCAACGGGACATTAAGAACTGTAACGTGTTAATTCTCACTGAGACTTGGCTCAACCCCGCTATCCCGGACTCCGCTATTGTCCCTGATGGATTCTCTATTTTTCGTCAGGACCGGACTGCAAACTCGGGGAAAAGTAAGGGAGGCGGTGTGTGTGTAATGACTAACAACAACTGGTGCTCAGATGTGAAGATTATTTCATCGGACTGTTCCGCACATCTAGAGCACCTCATGATCTCATGTCGGGCCTTCCATCTGCCGAGGGAATTCACATCTGTTGTGATAACAGCAGTGTATGTCCCCCCGCAGCCACTCGCCGACAACAACACGGCACTCGATCAGCTGTTTGGGATTATTGATAAGACCGAGACTTCACGGCCAGATGCGGCGTTCGTTGTGGCCGGAGATTTCAACACCGCCAACATGAAGAAGGTTTTGCCAAAATATTACCAACACATCAACTGCCCGACGCGCGGGGGAAACATATTGGACCATGTTTATTCCCCTTTCCGGAATGGATATAAGGCTCTCCCTCGCCCTCCCTTCGGCAAATCAGACCATATCTCACTACTGTTGTTGCCTGCGTACAAGCAGAAACTTAAAAGGGACAGACCGATTACAAAGACAGTACATCGATGGAGCGAGGAGTCAGATTCAGCACTGCAGGATTGCTTTGCATCTACGGATTGGAGTGTGTTTGAGGACAATAACATCAACACACACACGGACACTGTCATCTGCTAGATTGGGAAATGCATCGATGACGTGGTACCGAAGGTTTCTGTACGGACATTCCCAAATCAAAAGCCCTGGATAAACTCCGATGTGCGCGGCAAGCTGAAAGCGCGCACTATCGCGCACAGAGCGGGGGATTTGGAGGAGTACAGGAAGTCTAGGTATGATCTCCGAAGAGCAATTAAAAATGCAAAGAGACAGTACAAAGAGAAGGTGGAATCTGACTTCAAAGGCTGTAACACTAGGAATATGTGGGCGGGACTAAGGACAATGACTGACTACAAAGGAGCAGCGGGGGGGGGGCTGCGGGAGTGTCTGCGTGCGCATCTCTCCCAGATGAGCTGAACAGTTTTTTTGCACGCTTTGAGAGCAGCCAGGCTGTGGAGGTACAGATGGACCAGGAGCTACACTGCCCTTTTGTTTTAAATAGGACAGATGTGTGTAAATCTTTTAAAAGGGTTAACCCACACAAGGCTCCTGGACCTGATGGCATCCCTGGCCGTGTTCTCAGGGTGTGTGCAGTTCAGCTGGCAGAGGTGTTCACAGACATCTTCAACAGGTCCCTGCTGCAGTCTGTAGTCCCCACATGCTTCAAACATTCCACTATCGTTCCTGTCCCGAAAAAGACAATCATCACCGACCCCAACGACTACCGCCCAGTAGCACTCACCTCCACCGTAATGAAGTGCTTTGAGCGGTTAGTCAAATCATTCATCACCTCCTCCCTCCCTGAATCTCTGGACCCCCTGCAGTTTGCCTACAGAGCAAACAGGTCCACAGACGACGCCATAGCCCTCACCCTCCACACTGCCCTCTCACACCTGGACCCGAAGAACAGGAACACATATGTGAGAATGCTGTTGACTACAGTTCAGCATTCAATACCATTGTGCCCTCCAAGCTGGCCATCAAGCTCAGAGACCTCGGGCTCAACAGCGCCCTCTGTGACTGGATCCTGAACTTCCTGACGGGCAGACCCCAGGCAGCGCGGGTGGGAAACATCACATCCTCCACCCTGATCCTCAACACCGGTGCCCCTCAAGGCTGCGTGCTCAGCCCTCTCCTCTACTCCCTGTTCACCCACGACTGCGTGGCCACACACAGCTCCAACACCATCGTGAAGTTTGCTGATGACACGACCGTCATCGGCCAGATCACAGACGATGACGAGACGGCGTACAGAGAGGAGGTCGAAAACCTGACATCTTGGTGCCAGGATAACAACCTCCCTCTCAACATCAGCTAAACAAAGGAGCTGATTGTGGATTACAGGGAGCAGCAGGGAGAGGGACACGCCCCCATCGCCATCAATGGGACTACGGTGGAGATAGTCAAAAGCTTCAGGTTCCTTGGGGTCCACATCACTGAGGACCTGACATGGTCTCTTCACACCACCACCATCACCAAGAAAGCTCGACAGCGGCTCTTCTTCCTCCGCAGGTTGAGGAGGTTCAACATGGACTCCAGGATACTCTGCAACTTCTACAGGTGCACGATAGAGAGTATCCTCACTGGCAGCATGACGGCCTGGTACGGCAGCTGCACCGACCTCGAT